AACTATTAATTTGCACTAATAAATTAGGGATATGTTTTAGACTGCATGCCCAATTATACTTCTCCATATTCCACTATATACAATGTATGGTCTACTGTTTACTGGCGCCACGTCACCTCATTGGTTGGGCATCTCCATAGGAATACTGATGGCTCTATTTCCTTTGACAAGTCCGCTGATAAGTCTGGCTTTTATAAACGATTATCGGAAGTTTATTCTTACGCTATTCACAATGAACTGCAGAAAAGTTGGAATATCATCTTCAAGCCCAACAACGCGAGTTATTAGAGTGAAATCCATTCCTACGGAGAAATAGAATAGTAAAAATTATAACGATTCGCTTTAATACGTGTTTTACTTTTCCTTGTTGTTGCTCGTTGTTGAAGTAAATATTATAAAATTTCACCTGAGGTCATGTAACGTGTAATGTGAATTCGTAATGAAACATGCAAGAATCTTCACTACATCAGTACTCTGGCACTGGAAATGAGAGAATGAAGGTCCGCTCATTAGCACTTTGAGAATTGAGCGCTCATCGCTTAGCGCCAGTGCCTCATCGAAATCGCAAGTCGTCGGTCGATTCTGCTCGCATGGTAATGAAGAACTTCTTGATCGACATCTCAGTTGTGTTATTCACCTTTCTTCTTCGACTTCTATGGTGTAATGAGACGAAAGAACATCGTCATGGAATAACTCTTTTTGCGACTCTGCTCAGAAAATAACGCAAAGACTGTCAGCGGCGTCAACGCAGTACACGAGCGCCGAGCGGCACCTGTTGGTACAACAACATTGCTCGACGCTCTACTTTGAAAAGGCCCACTATGGAAAAAGCTAAGTTTCCGAGGCAGAGAGGTTGATGATATTTTTTCTGACTCTCCCATAAACGACGTTCAAAGCTCACAGCATCAAAATTGGCTCTTCTTTATGGCATGTGAATTTTTTGCTGTTTAGGAGGTTCAGAAAACTTCCGAACCCAAAATTTGCTTCAAAACATGGTCAGTTGGCGTGAACATCATTGCCCTAGTAGAAGAACTTACGAGGGATGTTAAGGTAATGAACCTAGTCTTTCAAACAAAACTTGAATATCTGCTGAATACATAGGAGACATACCAAAATCATAACAATCTGATGAAATCCCAAGAAATCGTAGAGTTCATCGAACAGTAATCGGTAGGATCGGTAAGAAATGATAACTTCAATAGCAGAGTTTGCTTATATGTACTAATACGCATTTGTCAAGCAGATTAATTAGCACACCATTACATGAGAAGATTGAGGTAGATAATTATGATACCTGTACTGTTATTTCTAACAATTACATCGGCACTTCAAGACTGTACAAAGCAAGTATTTATGCGAAACCGTCAACAAATAATATCGCTACTAGCAATATCGCGACACCAACGCCAGAAGAGAAGAGGGCCTCTGCTCCAATCTAGCTGCAAAAGAAGTTAAATAGGCAGATCCCCTGATCTGCACATATGAAAGGTTACAAAGACCCCATAAAGAATTAGAGTCGAGTTCTCAGTACTGTTCTCCAGTTCTTCATCACCTTGAAGTATGCTCCCACTCCTGATAGATGCTGGTGGATACATAATTTGATCCACAGATGACTGTAAACGTGGTAGCAAGATTTTTAGGTCAACCCCTGCTAGGCCTTATTCTTTCCCATATGGTTTTTTTCTATGTCTTCGATTGCCTAATAACGACGATCGTGGCATAACTTAATGCTAATGAATTGCCATGCTAATAATGCATTTGTTACCTAATTGCCAAGTGGAAATTCCGCCTTTCCTTTTGTGCTCAACAATTGAGGAGAGCACTCTTGGAAATCCAATTTTATCTCGTTTTGAGCTGAATGTGCCAATTAGAACAGACATTAGAGCATCAGAATTAAGAATATGTATTAATTTAGTAGTTACCCGTTGAGCTTCACTGTTCTTCTTGAAAGGAACTCCACCTTTCTTCCCTATCCACCTCAACTAAACTTGTCTCAGACCTACATCTCTCCAAACATTTACACTGAATTGGTCCTTTTAATCATCAAACCTAATCATCGAAGTCTTTCTTTCTTCTCTCCCCATTCCTGAGACGGATGGATTGTTCACGTTTGTGAGCCTCATTACAATAATCTCCTCAACCATAAGTGAAAATCGCCTTCTTCCAGGACCCGATTAGAGTTTTCGGGGTGTGTGTCGTTTGGCGCGATCCCTCCCATCGCGCCGCCCATTCAACATGGTTTGCAAGCTGGACAACTCGTCCAAGCACAATGAAGAAGCCAAATAGACTATGTAGGCAGGCAGAAGAGAATAGAGCACGAGTTGTCCAACTTGCAAACCGCGTCGAATGGGCGGCGCGACGGGAGGGATCGCGCCAAACGACCGCCTCCCGAGTTTCCACTATATGGTTTTCTTGGTCAACGCTGCAGAGCAGTAAACAATTAGCAGCATACTACAAGCGTTCAAATGCAAGTGATTTCAAATGGAAAACTGTTTAGCCAAGTAGTAAAACCACGGTGCCAATGCGGAGCCCCGTTGTTAACCAAAGTTTCATTACTTACTTATACTTATACGGCTCGTCGTCACTTATGTGAGAGCACCAGCAACAAACCATTCGCTTCTCTCTTGCGAGATCGCCATCCACTTTCGACTCAGAATACGACGAATATGGCGACGTTAGGAGTCGTTCAGCTGCTCTCCCAGCTGTTTCGCGTGATCAACAAGCACATCTTCCTCTCTCAGCAAGTCTACCCTTAGATCGTGAAAGTCTTACGAGAGCCCACTCGATTGTTCTTCTTCATCATCTCTTCTCATTAAATGAGCGACCCGGCGAAATTTTGCCTTCCTCATATATTCCACCGGATTGCGGAGTCGAGACATTCTGCGCATGTCGGAGCTGCGGAGTCCGACTCGATATTGCCCGAGCCAATTGGACCTCAAAAGACATCGCTCGATCGCTCTGCGTTGTGCTAGTGTCATTACTCCTTCAGATGTCTCTTATTCCACCTATCCTCTATTGGGAGTACTCAGCGCCTATCTGTAGGCCAAAGGAAGATATGATCCTCAAGAGATCAATCCATTTCTCATATGTCTGTAAAGATTTAATGAAGTCTACAATCCCATTTAATGTTGGAATAGCCTAGCAGCCACTGACTTAAACGTGAACTTTTGTCGACGGAATAGAATTGTCAACACATATACTTACATTCCGATCACTCAAGAAATTGAGCTCATACCACGTGCGAAATGAAAGACGAACTACAACTTTGATTTATCTCCCCTTAATTTCAATATTTTTTTTTGAAATGTAAACATTTGTATCACTTCATCCTGGCCCTAAGGCGTCCTGGACCATGCTTTCCCTGTACGAGTTGAGTGCTTATACTAGGTAAGCCTTTTTCTTGATTAGATTAGCATTCAGTGTTCGTTAAGTACCGTAAATCCTTGATTGAAAACAAGCCTAATTCAATACAGCTCAATCTAAGTGTACTGAATGTGAACAGCATCTCCTTGAATAGGAGTAAATTACCTCAAACTACACAGATTTATCTTATCTTTACGGAAACTGTTTTCACAGTTCAACCCTTCTTTTATGCGAACACTTTCCCAGAATCACGTTCGTCTACATAAAAGGGCGTTTCTCGTTCTGCCCACGTATAACTTTTTTCCTCGAACGCAGCTGTAGAAATTCCACCTGCCTCTTGATGATTTTAATTTCTCCTACATTGAATGGCTATCGGCAAAAAGACCTTATAATTGAACAATGAATTACATGTACGTGCCATGTTCCACTAATTCCTGATATTGCTTTGTTCGATAGTAATTACCACTAGGTTGTGACAGTTACCTGGAACATATCGCACAAATTACCATTTACCATTGTTAACGAGCTGACAATTCCCATGGGCAAACTACCTTTTCTGGTAAAGTCCCACTCACTAAGTTGTCTTAAAAAGGTAGACAAGGTTGAAAGGCATGAAAAGCTGG